AAATTATTTAGCAGCATCAAGATGAAAAACATAAATAAGCAGAATATAAAAACAAAATAAGGAGCAACAAAACCACTGTTTCAGGCTGCTATTCATTTTCTCAACAGGCAGATGAAAAGTTTGATTTAGAGATTCAGTCCTGATCTGCTAAACTTTTATTTGTCTGATACTAAACAAACAGTAATTACAAGAGTTTGTGCACTACACCTGAAGTATATGGGCTATCACTCAGCTTTTGGTAGGTTAGAGCTCCATTGTTTGGGAAGAAAAGAGTTTTAGTTTTTAGGAGGAGAATGGTTGTGTTTTTAGGCTCTCTCTCAGTTAGAGAAGCTCATTTTTCCTTGGGTGTTATGTATTTTAACATGTGTATCTGGGCAGTTGTACATACATACATATGTACATAGACAGGACATGTATGATAAGTTTTTTCATTAAAAGAAAACAGGGACTGGCTCAGAACTTCATCTAACCACCCTGGAGTTTTTATTTGCCATGTATTTGTATAACTGGCAGCTGTTTAGAGCCAGCTTTGGAAAGCAGCTATGGTGATGAATGTTCAATGCTAGAGATTTATTGTTGGTTTTGCTGAAATCTTCAGGGCTTCCCAAAATCAGATATGATCAGACCTGTGCTTGTTTTGTCCCTAACATGAGTAAATCATTATTTCCTTATACTTGAAGACAGATTCAGAATATCCCCACTGTGCAATGAGCAGCTTTTATGACTTCTTTATGAATCTCCTGTGTTTGGCCAACAAACTAAGAAGTCTGGGGTAAAATCACCCATGATGGATATTTGACTTTCACTCTTTGCCTCTCTGACTTCCCCTGGCTGCTTACAAAGTGCCAGTAGCCAACTTAGGCATGAAGTTGCCCTTATGGGCACTTTTATGTGCAGAGGAGGGAAGAGCTAATTGCAGCACTTGCCTCCATCGCCTCCTCTCTTCTGAGCATGAGGCTGCCTCCCAGCTGCTGTCCCCCAGCCAGGAAGAAGTGGTGGAGACCCCCAGAGGGCCTCAGGGAGCTCCAGGCAGAGCTAAGGAGGGGCAGGCAGGGAGGGTGCAGGTGGCACAGGAGGCTCATGGGCAGGGCACCCTCAGTGGTCCTCGTACCCACACTTGTAGGGTTTGTCCAACCCATCTAAATTGTTGGGACTAAAACAGGTTCTGCCTGAATCACATCAGTGCTAGAGGTCTCACATTGCTCTGTCCATGGAGGCAGCAGTGCTTAGCTGTGCCCCTGGCATCATGCGTTGCTGTCAGTCCTGGTGGCTCTAGAGCATAAAGCTGGAGGATGTCCTTAGCCTCTGATAACACCCTTCACTTCCTAAAGGCTCCTGAGATTCCTGCTGTGGTTTGGACCATCCTGCTGGATTCTGTCCAAAGCCAAGAGAGAACCATTTCTGTGAAGGACCTGCCATGACTGTAGCTATGAGAACAGTTTCTATCCCAGTTTAGAATCACTCCTTCCCAAACCCTGCCTTGATTTCAGCAGAGCCAGGTTCATGGCTCTGCCTGGTCTGCACTTCTCAAGGCAAACATTACAACAGTCTTGTAAATTTTTAATTCAGTGAAGAGTCCTTAGCAGTATGAGTCATGCTAGACTCACAAAACCATTCACATAGCAAGCACATTTGTGCGTGGTGGTTCTGAGGTTTAGGGCAGAAGTGAGGCTGAGACTTATGTGCGTGCTTATGTCAGACAAAAAAATTAGTCAGCCCATGGAAAAACCATAGCAGAAATAGCATTTCAAGTTGCTTACTTAACACTGTTCCTGAGGTTTAATTATCATATATTCTATGGTTATTATGTTATTTCCATGAATAAGGAACCATATAATCGCAATATGAATGTTCAGTGTCTAAGTGGTAAAATCAGCTCTCCTTCCAGTGTGGCAGCAAAGCTTCACTGTGTTGGTTAAACCTTGAATGCTTGTTTGAACTACAAGACTAAATCTTTTTCTTCTTTTCATTTTACAACCAAACTGATAGAGAATGAATTCAAATTTCTGTAACTTTTCAGCAAATCAGTAGTGAATAGCTGAAATTTTTTTTGGATAAGCCATTTATTGTCAGGTTTTTAAGTGGATGCAAAATCTGGTGTATAAAGTTTGCATTTACAGAGATCACCAAGCACTCACATAGAAAAGCAGATTAGTCATCCTAACCTTTAAGTTTTAACATTGCCTTGAGTATTAAGCAAGTCTCCTGGCAGTTGCAAGTAAAATCTTAAGTGAGGCTTAGAACATGACATATCTGTGCATGTCAGTTTTGGGTGTATATATCTGTATAAAATATGGTGCGTTGTTTTCCATTTTAAACAGATTCATTTCAGCTTACTTGGTATCCCCCAGATTTTGAATTCACATATTTTTATGTACACACTTCTACCCACAAATATGCAACTGTATGTGGTACATATTCCTGCACAAGCATGTCTGCCCTTATGGCACAGGGCTGCACTGGACAAGACTCCCACCTCTGTGAAACTGCTGCAGAACTTGTTCCAGAGTTGGGCTGATCTCTGTGTCTCTGTCTTGAATGTGATGGATGATGAATACAGCAGCTGTATTTCTGCATCTCTCTGTGTCTGTGTCTGTGTCTGCGTTTCTGTCTCTGTCTCTGCCTCTGTGCTCCACAGGTTCTCCCCTCAAAGCAGCAACACTGCTAGAGGACACTGCATTTGTTGTCCTTTAGGGAGATCTGGACTCCCTGAGCTGTGCTGAGAAGACCAGTAGTAATTTCTTAGCACAATTGCTCATGATGACAAATGGCCACTAAATATTAGCTCATGGGGGAGAGATCTCCCTGTGGGTTCTGGGTTAGTGCAGCTTCAGATGCTCCCACCCCACCCAGCACCCCACCGATGCTGGTGACAGCAGTCCCCTTCCTAGCCTCTGCCTGCACTGCTTTCGTGTGTTTCTCTGCATTTCTGACTGACTTCTGGACTTCTCTTACTCAAAGTCTGACTGCAGATGCAAGAGTTGGCCATCATGTTCTCCAGGAGGGATTTTCCATTGGAAATTTTTCAACAGGCATTTCCCCACTCTGTTTGTAAGTCTGAGTCACTGACACCCCACAGCAGACAGCAATAGGACAAGGAGGAACAGTTTTAAAATGTCAGAAGAGGAATTTAGATTAGGTGATAGGAAGAAACTCTACATATAGTGAAGCCCTGGAACAAGCTGCCCCAAGAACTTGTGGATGCCCCATCCCTGGAAGGGTTCAAGGCCAGTTTGGATGGGCCCCTGAGGAAACTGATCTAGTGGGTGTCATTCCTGCCCATGCTAGATAAAACTAAAAGATCTTTAAGATCCCTACCAACCCAAAACTTTCTTTGATTCTATGATTCTTTTTCTCACTGTATCAGGTGCCCCATATAGCAAGGACCTGTCTGAGTAGCAGAGGACGGAGCAGGGGATCAAGCATAATCCCTTGACTCAGGAAAGAGGATTTTTATTGTGACAGCTACCCCTAACCATTGGTGAAAGGAGTCAGAGGCATTCCTGCCCCTAGGATCCATTCAAGGGGTGATAACAATAACCCTTTCCCTATCCACTTGGCTATAGTGGGTGAGATTTCATGAAATGAGGCTAAACTGGCATTTTCTGACAGAGAGGACTTCTCTCAGAAGCATCATTTTTTTACATCACTGGCTTCATACATGCCAAGTATAGGATTTTAGAATTATGCTTTTACTCAAATCATGATTGTGTTATTAGTCATTGAAGCAAATTTGCAGGAAGCCATGCATTCTGGCAGAAAGTCTAAGATTTCCCTCCAGAGCCCAAATTCGTGACATTTCAGAAAGCTTTCCAGCATAATCAAAATGTGTCTTAGCCGCCTCATGGCACCAAAATATTCTTGCATGTGGGTGGACTTGGCTGGCATGAAGGGAGAGCAATCTTGAGAGGTGCAAATGGCTTTTAACTTAATTTTGGACAAGGTTTCTCTGATTCTTACAAAACAGGTGGGTTCAGCCTCTTTCTCTCAGGCAACCACATGAAGAAACAACCTCCTATACAATGAAGCTGCAAATCAAATACACTCACAGGTTTACTTCAGTAACATCTTGTGAATATCTCCTTAGGGACTCTCGGGGATGATGAACCAGACAATTTTGACATTGATTGCTTCAGCCAGCTGGAAATTAAGGACTCCTTTAGCAGCCTGACCTGCAATTTCACCGAGCTGTCTCCTTACAACACTAACTACACCCTGTCTCTGTGGTAAGTGCTGTCAGTCTGTCCCTTGGTAAACAGCATGCAGGGAAACAGGGGCAGCAAAGCTAGACAAAATCCTATTTTGCCAAGCTTGAGTACTGTATTCAGCAAAGAAGAGGAGTTTACTGAAGCAGAACATAACTCCCTAATGAGAAAAAAGAAAGATGTGGAAGCATCTCTAAAGGGGACTATAGTGTCTACAATAGTTCTAATCTTGCCTCTGTTGCTCTGAAATGTCTGTAATATGGATGTAGCTCTGCATGAACTGAGAGTTTTTTACTTTAATTTAAATGGTATTTTAAAAAATGTTTTTGAAGACATAAATCTTTACCACAGAAAATTCTTTAGCAGAAGGTTAATTTTCCACACCCAAGAAAATGCCTTCATCTAGGTTAAGACAAAAACTCTGCTATTGTCTTTGCACACAGAGACATACAAGAAATACACTAGAACAAGCACACAAACCTCCAACAGTTATCAAACACATCAGTCATCTCCACTTCCTATCGAGGCCTTGAAACTCTTTCCACCCTTTTTTTTTTTCGCTGTTCACCAAGCTGAAGATCATATTTTGTTTCTTGAGCATACAGATCCTTTTCCTATTTTCTGCTTTTCCTGAAACTGAAAGCTGTGTGGCAGCCAAAAAAAGAAGTGGATATTTTGTGTAAATCTTTATATACTAGTAACTAATTATTTCCTTTTTTTTTCCTTACAGTTTATTAGAATTTTTCTATTTTCATGGGACTTGTTATTTGCTTTGACTGAAGTTTTATGGCAATTCTCAAACATGGGAACCTCACAAATGGAAAAAAAAAGTTTTAAAACCACCATGTGATTCCCTCAAGGACAGGCTGACTGTTGACCCTCTACTTGTTACCACCTAAGTGAATAAGAAATTTCTCTGTATCTTCAGAAAGCATCAAAACACATTCCCTTATACTTAAAAATAGCAGTGGTAAGGTAATTTTTGAGGATGCAAAATCTTAACACGTGCACCTCCAATTAAATAATTGCACTTTTTTCTCAAGAGCTCTGTGATGCTCAATGTGATTCACACGACTTTATTTTTGTGCTCAAGGACCACAAGGAAAAACATTATCAATCTCTCAAACTTCTTATTTGCATTGCACCATTTCTTATTTCACACGGAGTCTCACTTCAGTGAGATAAGTGAAAGGAGCAAGCAGGATTCATCCCTTATAGTAAGTAGTCAAGTCATATTAACACTGAGAAGAAATTATTGTCGTGTCACTTTGGCCAACAGTACCAAGGAAGACAACAATTATGCCTGCTCCAACATGAAGAAACAGGAAGATGTATTCTTCTTACAGTTCATTGATATACTCTCAAACAGAGATGTTTGCATGTACTCTGAGATGAAGAGAAGGGTCTGCAGGAGTCTGGTTGTAACTGACATTGGTGAGACACTTGACATTTTGGACATTTTTACAGTTATAGGGGTTACTGGGGAAAAAATAGCCCAGCACAAAACCTAAGGGTCAATCTGGATGACATAAAGACAGCATAAAATAGCATCTCAGCAGGGCATGTAGCCTGTTATCAGAGTGTGGTGTTTCCCCTGCTTCAAAGCCATTCATTATTAGCCTCCATTCAAAATGCGTAGCTGAATTCAGGCTGATTGTGACACTGCCCAGACCTGGACATAGACTGAATCCCAATCCAGGGCTGAAGCAGCTGTTCCTGAGTGAGGATGAACTGCCACGCAGGGACATTTTGTTCATCTCCAACCAGGGATTATGCAGTTTAGGGACTGGCCACCCCACGGATAGCATGAGCCCAGTAGCACAGGGAGCACAAGGCTGCAAGATCTCACTTCATGGTGCATCCTGTAGCCTGAGCAAGGTGCATCCTGCACTGGAAACTGTGAACAGGCTAACATATACCAGGGACCCGCCTGAGCCAAGGAATAGGAAACTCAAGGGAAGGAGGGGATTCACAGGATTTACTGTTCTAGGAAACCAGTGCCATTCGAGGGCGGCAGAGAAGCCTGTAGGACAGATTCTTCTCTGTTCTTCTCTGGTGCCACATTGCTTTGTCTCTGGTGGGCAGTAGGCACTGCAGCATCCCTCTCTTGTGAAACATTTCTGCCACAGTTCAATAGTTTTGTAATAATCTTACATTACCTCTTAGTTTATGGGCCAGCCTGGACCATCTCTGGCAGTGCCTACTCTAAAAACTGTGGAAGATTTAAGTATCTGGGGGTTGTAGAAGGAGCAAGACCAATTTATGGCTATATGTGCTTTCCTGAGAGGAGAGAGGTGTGGGCTCAGTGCTGCTGTGAGAGCTGATGTACTTACCCAGGTGAATTCAGGAAGCCTCAGTGACACAGACACAAGTCCCTGCAGGTCTCAAGCCCATCCAGCTCAGGCTCAGCTTGGAGAGAGCCCCGAGGGCTGCATTTTGGACTTGATGTACTTGCACAGATGGTCTTTGGCATAGACCAGATAATATGTGGGTACATAGCACGGGTCTGGAGCCACAGCCCCCTCTGGTCTATCTAACACCATCAGACTTTGTAGCTCCCTCTGTCCCACTGCCCTGACAGACAGACACAGTGGTACCTGAGCACAGGTTGCTCCCGAGCATCTCCTTGCAGCTGGGTTTTGCCAGAGGCCTCCACCTCAGAGCACTGGCTTGAGGGACTGAATTTCAGGGCTTCAACCTGCCACAGGGGTGGGCATGCTCAGGAATTGTTTTCCAAGACAAAATGTCACATCCCTCAGAAGCCGCTCCCCTGCTGGTCTGATTCTCTAGCAGGTCAAAACCCAGCCCCTCTCAGTATCAGGGCATAAGGGTGAGCTGGGGCTCAGCATGAGGATTGCCTAACTCAGGACAGCTCTTCCTCAAGATAGGTCACCCTGCAGGGCTGTAACCTGAAGTGGACTTTGTTTTACATTTCAAACCCTGTTTATTTTCTAACATTATTCTGCTCCTGTGTTATCCTGGTTTGTTGTCATTTGCAGTTAAGCCTGAAGTACCATTTGCTATAAACATCACCTATGAAAGGGAGGCAAATGAATATCTCATTCGTTACTGCACACCACACTCAAGGAAGAAATACTTAAAGGACAAATTAGTGCACCAAGTAGCCTATCGGCAGAAAGAAGGTACTTGGAAGGTAGGTAGTGATGTATTGGTGTGCTCACACTGATTTCCAAAAATTAACATTATCAAAATTACCTGTAGCATGTAAAAATTATCAAATCTGCAGATATCTCCACCTGAAAATTTGGAAAGGTGCAATATTTGGCATTTGGAAATGTCATCAGTCAAAAAAGGTTTCATTAATTTGGGCTTTTCAGTGGGAACAGAAGACACAATGTGTTGAACCATCCTAAGTTTGCTCTTTGCTGTGGTGGTTTTGCTGTAATTTTCTGTGCTCATAAGTCAGTAAAACTTGTTGTCTCTTTACTTATTTTGCAAGTTCCTTCACATCTCCTTTTCCATTGAATCCTTCCAGGCTCCCAAGGCAGCCCTGCAGCTCTCCCACCCTCAGGCTGTCTGAGGCTGTGAGCTGGGTCTGACTGGGGCTGCCCAGCTGCAGGGATCTCTGTGTCCCCTCTCACCAGGGCAGCCATGCAAAAGCTGCCCACAGTGTTTGAGAGCATGGACTCCACCTGGGTTTTACACAGTGCTGTCCACCAAAATCAGATTTGTTACCTGGAGTGCAACTAGGCAGTAACTACACAGTGGAGAGAGACATTGACTGTTCCAGTTGCACGAGCCTGGGTGCTCAGTGGTATTCCACAAATCAAGCACACCAACTACCAAAACATTTTACTATTAATACATTTTAGCAAACAAACTAATTAGTGTTCCTTGGCCACAAGTTAGATAGTTCTCTTATTAATTAGTGTTCTATCTTCTATAGGTTAATGATTCTCTCCCATCTCATGCTAATTAGCCCTCAGGCTCAGTCTTTTTCTTCCCTTGAGTTGGTGGCTCCCTTGTCCAGGTGGGCCATGAGTCAGCAGTCGTGATCTGCTCCTGCCAGAATTACCTTCTAGCCAGTTCAGAGCTGATTCAGCATACTCACTGAGTTGTGTTTATTAGTTTCTTCCTTATCTTGGGGGTTCTGCCAAATGTCCTCTATTATGGCCCAAAAATTCTGCCCTCTTTGTGTCCATTACCATCACTGCATCCTTCTTCCCAAGCTTTGTTAACCTCCCCCCAGGTCTCACACCATCGAAGCATATCAAGACCCAAAACTTAACAAGGCAATTCTAGCCACTAGTAATTTGTTTTTTCAACATCTGGACATCATTTAGAGCTTGCTTATTAACTGCTCTCTGTTTCACAGATTAAATCTCCTTCCTTGTTGATTAGGCTTGAAAATATATAAAGATCAACACCAAAGAACTAAGGGAAAAAGAAAATGGATTCAGGCAGCAAAATACACTGAAATGGAGAGCACCAGAGCTGCACTGCAGGATTTCTGCTTCTTCCCTGTAACTGTCCTCTCAGACACTGTCTTTTTATGCTGCAGAAATATATTTTTTCCCCATCTCTCCTCTGAGCCTTTTCATGGAGGCATATATTTCCTACAGCAGTGTCAGCTGCCACAAAGCACAGTTAATACTCGCAGCTGTTTTCCTAAAAAGCTTTTATCCAGCATTTGTCTCTCTTCTCAATACTATCTGGACTATGCTCCTGTTTAACTAGGCTGATGCCCTGATAAGCACCTGTGTAATAGCTAGGCAGATGGAGTAAACAGCACAGCATTTCAGGGATGCACCTGATCTCACATATTTTGCTGAACTCGAGGATAATTCTTCGCTGTCTGCTGGAAAAATAATTGTATTTTTGTGTGTGTGTGTGTGTTTAGACAATAGAATCACCATACCTTCAGATAAAATTGCTGGGGAAAAACCTTGAAAATGAAGCATCGTATGAGGTGAAAGTACGTTCTCAGCCCAATGGAGATTATTTTAAGGGCACATGGAGTGAATGGAGCACTTCGAAGAGCTTCAAAACAGCAAGAGAGCAGCACTCCACAGAAAGCTGTAAGAGCTGAAAACACTTTGGTTCTCCTGAAGGAAAGCAGAGCTGGGGGTCTGGGCTCCCTGGCCAGCCTCAGCAGCAGCAGGGATGGGGGAACGGGGAGGGAAGAGCCCACAGCCACAGCAGAGTCAGCCCTCACAGACACAGGCACTCCAGGGAGGTGACTCACGGAGCAGCTGGATTGCTTTGGTCTGGGGCTGGCTCTCCATGAAGACTTAAATCTCACTCAGGGGTAATAAGGTCAGAGGAAGTGCTGCCATGAGGGTGTGGGTGCAGAGGCAGATGAAGGCTGACTCACTGCTTGCTGCTGGCTGCCTTGCCAGGGGAAGGAAGAGCTTGCATTTTGGGTAAGGCACAGAGCTGCGAAGCATGACCCATTTCAGAAGCCTGGGCTTGGGTGTGAAGATGGCACTTGGATCACAAATGCAACACAGGATAAAATCTCATCATTGTACATGAATAATCTTTGTGGTCCTTGGGTCCCCCCAGTCTCCAGGGGCACCTCAGCATTACAGGTGTTAGAAGTCATCTCTGTGCTGCTGTGAGGACACAGTGAGTGCTGATTTCAATGCACAGAAGGTGACAGCACACTTCAAGCTGCTTTAATCCAGGCTGTGAACTCAGCTCGAAGCTCAGCCAAGTGCTGAGGCTGTGGCAGTCTATCATTCACCTCCTTCACGGAGGCAGGAGAAATGAGCCCAGCCCAGTGATAGGCAAGTGAAATGCTTGGTGTTAATTCCTAATTTATCATCTGAAAAGACATCACTGTTAAAGTGGCTTAACAGTGAGACATTTACATGCACTGGCTGATGCTCTTTATTTTCCTTTAGACAGCAGTGTGGTCATGGTTATACTCTCCATCCTAGGATTCATGCTGTCCGTTGTTGTGATTGCACTGATCGTAGTTTTTTGGGAAAACAGGTAATCTCTTTGTCTCAGAAAAGATTTTGGAACCCAATCCCGTTTTGACAGTCTTATTGCTTTCCCCTGTTATACTTGTGAACTATTCTCTCTCCATCTCTGGAACTCTGTATCAAGTTGATGGCAAGCAAAGAGTAGAAATGAGCAATACAAGAGACAATGTTGGCAGGCAGAAGATGACCTGCCACTTGGACCAGATTTCAGTCCTGAACTCAAAACTCTGGAAATTTTCATGAGCCAAAGTCACCACAGAGCACTTACAGACTCAGTGTCTCAGTGGAGGCAAATTTGACTCACAAACTTCAAGCAAAATCTAGAAAAGAAAGGAACCTGCGGGTTTTAGTAAACTCCTGAGAAGTGTGGAAACAGCATGCCAGAGTGATGACCTCTTTCCCTTTCACAGGCTGAGTCAGGGGGGGTTTGCTCTGTGGTGCTTTCAGAAGCAGCAGGGCAGAGCCCTCAGACACCAGCCTGGCCAAATCCTCTTCCAGCCAGCCATGAGGCAAGACCAGCCCAAACTGGGACTGAAGATACATTAATTACCCAAGCAGTCCTTGGGCTGCAGTAGGGTTTTTACACAGAAGTAGATGGATGACTGCAGATATGTTTTTAATGACATGGCTCACTAGAGCTGACAAGCTTAAGAAAATGAACAGATCTGTAGATAATGTTATGAAACTAGAATCTGGAGGGATAAAATCCAAGTTTATCTGTAGAAGATGAACTCCTTGCAAGATAGAAAGCCAGGACTCTTCAACAACATTCAGAGCAGGCTGTCCATGACACCCACCTCAAGAGAGGTAACTCTGTGTTGAGCTCCTTTTTGGGATAACTCTTGGGCTGTTTGTGCCAACTCCAGAGTAACACATGGGGATTACCTGGACATTGCTAGTTGGCCCAGCCATACCATGCCACAAACAATTTTAATAATTAAACATTTTAGACAATGGAGTTATCTGCCCTAGTGCTGCTTTATTCACAAGTATAGAGGGAGCTTGAGATTTCTTGTTCTTGCATTTTACTGTTGCTGGGAACCTGCAATTATCTAACTTTGCTAACTTTGCTTTTATAAAACTGCAGCAAAAAACAGGTGAGAGTTTTTGATCCCAGATATTTCCATTTTAGAAAGAAGAGGGTTTTATACATGTGCATATATACAGCCACGTAGACACATAAATAAAATTAAATCTATATTCATATACATGTATAATTTTAACACTGCAATGATTGAAAATCAGTTGGACAACATTCTCTAGATGCCCCATAGCTGACAGCATCAAGCAGCACAACATGAGAACTTTGCTGATCAAGGCAGTAAAGATGAGACCTGTGGAATAAGACTACAGGACAGATGTCTGAAGCTCAAATTGTTGGGAATGGGACAATATGCAGTTCTTTGAATTAATTGAACAGAAGCGAGTATCAGCACATTTCCACTTTAACCACAGCATCTTCTTGCACTTAGAGAAAACAGTTTCACCACAGAGAGCCCAGTTCACACAGCTAGATGAAAACAAGCAACAAACTCTTTGCCAGCATAATTTGCTGCAGTACTTAGTGAAGTGTTTTCTTTTAACTGTGACAATTTGTGCACTCCAAAGAACAATGACTTTTTGGTGACCTTTACAATTCCTCTTCTCTTGTCTGGATTATTCTGAGGCTTCTCTGTCTTTATTCTGGATAATGCCAGCCAGCCCTAAGGCTTTGTGAGAACTGGTACAAATGATGCAACATGAACCTCTGACACCTCAACATAGCCCCCTCTCATGCTGCTATTTGTCCACTGTTGCTGTTTCAGGATCAAGCCTGCTGTATGGCCAAACCTTCCTGACCATAAAAAAACGCTGGAGCAACTATGCAAGAAGCCAAAAAACGTATGTATGTTCTTCCACTGTTCTTTCCACTTGAGCATAGACTCTTGGGGACAAAACTAACACTGGTGAGAGACAGTATCTGCATGTGCTGCATGAACTAGGACATCTTTCAGAAATTACTTCTACATTTCACAGAACAGAGCCCACATTTGCTCATGTTGATGTCAGCCAAGGGTATGGAAATAACACACAATTGACCTAGTGCCTGAGGTTTGACCTGTGCAAAGTATCTACAGAGGTCTTGGGAAGTTGATGTATGAAGAAAGGCTGAAGGAATTAAGTTTCTATATAGAAGAAAAGGAAGCTTGGGGTGGGGAATACTATTTACAACCTTCCAATACCTAAGGTATATGTAGAGAGGTGGGAAAGATGCTCTCACCACATGGCTGTGTGGAGACAGGAGACACATGCCTCTGGTAACAAAGGCAACAAGCATGCGTTGCTTCAGGGCAAACTTCTTCCAGATACAAGGAAAGAATCTTCCTTGTGAAAAGAATTAGACACTGTGTAGCCTGCCCAAAGACAAGGTAGGTTCCCCTTTGGGAATATGTTTAAGGCTTGGCTTGACAGGGCTCTGAACAGCCTAATCCAGGTCCTGCTTCTGGCAGAAAGTTTCCACAGCTCCTTTCCAACCAAGATGCTTTGGTGATTCTACAAAACTGTGATCATGGGGCTGGATGGGGACCTCTTGCAAACATCCCTGGTGGTGTCCATGTACCCTGACATGGTCACAAGCATTGTTCATACATCATGCAGTATATGAACTGCTTTGCCAGTTAACAGCCAGATGGATGAGTAAGGCATTAGTGCTGTTCACTCCTGGTACATTATTAGCATATTCTTAATTTCATAGGAGGCCTAACACAGCTCCCCCAGCCTCTGTGCTCCTCAGCTGAGGGATTCTTAACGTTTTTCAGGAAGTCATGGCAAATTTTTACTTCCCTTGCATCTAAATTAGGAAGGCAAAACTGAAAGAAACCACCTGGGTGGGCACACTCCTTCCTGTGAAATGGCAGGCAGGCAATAAATGTGTGTCTCACAAAAGTCTCTGAAACACTGTATAGAGCATAAAACACTCAATGGGGGTGCTGCCCAGTGGAGGATACTAGATGAATGAAGTTAATAAAGGGATTTTCAGCTATGTGATAGTTTATTCTGTGCTAACCTATTGTTCAGCCTGCTCAGGGTTATATCTGGAGTTAAAGAAAAAATAAATACCCTTCTAAAATAAATTATCAAAGTATCTTTTATCTTAAGCTAGCACCCACTGTTGACTAACTGTGCTGTTCCCTTTGCCACACAGAATTTTGATATAAGCTTTAACCCAGAGAGTTTTGGTTATGCTCATATCCATAAAGTGGATGGCCTTTGGGCAAAAGCTGAACTGGAAAATTTTCTGCAGCCATCAACTGCTCCAGAGACAAGCCTTCCAGAAAAATTCAGGAGTGGATCAGACCTGAAGATGATCCCTGCAACGGCAGACAAAACCAACCTGAACCTGCCGGTGTCGTACGAAGGGGTCTGGCCAGCTGAAGCCCTGCACAGGCTCCTGGGCCCCAGCCAGTTTGCAGTCACCGAGGGCAGCTGCAGCTCCAGCACCTATGAGGTTTGCCACGGCAACAGGGTGCCCCTGCACCACGATGGTTTCAACCTTTCCTCCACTCGTCCCCTGCATCCTTCAGGGCAGCCCCATCCAGAGCCCCTGAACCACAACACCCCATCCCAGATGTTGCCTCACAGTGACATGAGATCACCAAACAATGAGGAAGCCTACGTCACGATGTCCAACTTCTACAAAATCCAGTAAATCTCACAAGAATTACAGCATGCAGTTTTTTCTCTGGCACACGCAGGATACTGAGGCTTTCTGGCTCTGTTTTCCCGTATCCTGAGCACTCCCACCTCCCTCGTGCGCTCTGCTCACGGTGCAGCGCTGTACCTGCAGGGAAGGGGGATCTCCTACACTCAGTGAGAAGCAGCCCATCTCAGCATTCAGTATGCTGCTAGCAGTCTTCACTGCAGCAGAAATTAAATTTAATTCAACCTGATTCCGATCTTCAAATCTGATTAATCCAGAGCAGTGACAATGTAGTCCCAGCCGAGGATCACAGCATGTCTTGTAGAAATTAATGAACTTTTTTGTTACCCTCTTGGTTACAAAGTTAAGCTCTTATTAATGCCATAGCAAGAAATATGGCAATAAATTCCTTTTAAATAGAACCCAACCTCTTTTAAACACTGGTGGGTCAAGAATAACTCCCCCTCCCCCCCCCACCCCAGTCAGTCAAAAGACAGTAAAAAGACAAAAAAGACAGGAAATTAGAGTTGCTATCAAATAGTAGATGCCTGGAGATCCAGGCAGCTTGAGCACCACAATGAGAGTTGGCTGAGTGCCCAGCAAAAATGTTACATAGGCCCACCTGAGGGAGATGTTTCCTGAGATGGATTTAGTTTTTGGTTTGGTTGTTTTTGTTATGGGGTTTTTTTTGGTGGTTTGTTGGGGGTTTTTTTGAGACTCAAATTAAAACAAAGCAAACCCTAAATGCCACTACTTTTCGCTATTGGCAAAGACCTGCCCTTAAGACAGTTACAGGATGCACAGGAACTTCTGCTAATACTTTTGAGGTCTTCAACATGTACCAACCATGAGAAGCAAAGTCCTTTCTCTTCCTAGAGGTTGAATTGGGTCTGTAAATTGCATGATACTCTCCTTTTCTGCAGCTCTTATGCAATTATTAGTGTAGCATAAGTGCTTTCCATTCCAGAGACTAGGCTAACCATGTTTGTTTACTAGCATTATTCCCAATGGCTGTGACTGCACACAAGTACTATGAATTTGGACAGGCAATGTTTTCATGCAACATCTGACATAGGAAGATGGATGGAATGTCGTGGATCCTTGCCAGTGATCACAAGACCTAATTTAGTTTTTTTAAAATATCTTATAGCTTGCCAGGAGATGCTTTTTGTTTGTTGATATTCTTTTATTCTTTTTTTTTTCCAGTTTTTAATTTTTTTCATTGTGACTTTTTTTCTTTATGGTATTACATTTATTATATTTTTTACATTATGGCTGAGCCACTTCACAGTCCTCTTTGGATGCTGCACATTCTGGAGCACACACTTGGAGATAAAGCTGCTACAGCCACATGGTTGCAGGACAGCAAAGCATGTGGCCACGGGACATCCAAGCTGCTTTCTTGGACTCTGGACTTGGGGTTCACTTCACTGTGCAGTCTCAGTTCCTCTAGCTCTTTGAAATTCTCCTTTACCTAGTTATATTCACATTTCCAGAGCATAAAGGTTGAAAAGAGTCCTCTCTTATCCTCAAAGGATGAGATGCTCATTTGTTCTGACTCATAATGGTCATAGAGATGTTACAAAACCTCAGCTGCTTCCATCTGCCTCTGCCAAGACAGCTTTGTACCAGGAGAGCAGCAGAATGAATCTGATCACTGAAACTCTCTTGTGGCTTTGTTTCAAGAATATATGGCAGAGAGTGAGGCTTGCATTAAACTCGGTTGCTTGAATTAGAATTGAATGCTTCAGGAGACAGTACAAACCAAACAGCAATTCTGGAGCACATCAAGCCAAAACCAGCCTTCCCAAGACAGCACTCCACCTCCTCCGCCTCCACCCAGTGCAAGGGAAACTTTCAAGTGAGGAGAGCTTAACAGCTACTGTGTGCAAAGGGGCCTCAGATTTGGCTCAAGGCATTCCAGTGACATTTTACAGAATGGTTTTTATTGCTGTTTACCACCAAATGAAGCATTAATTGATGCAGAAGAAAAAGGCCAAAGCCCTGGGCGTTCATTTTCTTTATAGTGCTTGTGTTTCTTTTCAAACAGAGCTGCTGATAATGCTTATACTGCGAGGACTTGCACAGTATTACTGTAGATACAGACTATACTAGAATGATACCTCCTTCCAGTGACACAGTAACAAACAAAAAGGGGATAGCGGAAGAAGCAAAAGCACATCAGGAAAATCTTCTGCACTATGTGCTATGCTCCCTTCAATTTTTGTAATTCTGTATTTCTGTAACATATTTGTTGGATGTATGCAGATATAACCACTTTCAGCTTTGTTTCAGGAAAAAAAAAATAAAGCCAAATATGCACCAAAGCCTGAAACACCACAAGCATTTCCTGTCCATAGCCAAGTTATATATAGCCCATATATGAGGATACAGCCATGGCTATGTCTGGACAATCTGTCAAGTAGTCTCCTTATTCTACATGACAATTTCTCCAGAGCTGTCCACAGATTCCCATCTGCCTCAGTAATCACACAGGAGTTGTGCTCAGCTTTCACATACTCCATGCACTTCCTTTAGCTCAGCACAATTTTCCTTCTCCCCCTTCTGCCTCCAGTGCCCTCGCTCAGCTGCACACCCAGAGCCAGCCTGCTGGCATTGGTTCCTCTGTAGCTGCAGTATGACACAGTGCCTGGAGCTGCCTGCTCCTCCCTGCTGTGTGCCCGTGGGGCTCCAGCCCCTCTCCTGCAGTCGTGGGGACACACAGACACCCTCCCATCTTTGCTTTTCCCTTCTCCTGTGTGCAGCCCATGCAAACACCTCCCAGCACAGTGAGCACTCCTCTCCTGCACTATGGAAATATCTCTTAGCTGTACACAAACAAACTTAGACTATTGTCAGTTGTAACAATGAGTCATGGTCTAATTCTAATAATGCTGAAAAATGCTAATTACATCTCAAGGCAATAGTCATCCGTGGCTAAAAGCTTTAGTTTGTTTACCACATCTCCTCCCCTTGCGCACATTCATTAGACAGGCTGAAAAAACACACACAAACGCTGCGTGTGTCAGTGGGCCAGCAGAGGACCATTTAGCTAAGTGTGGGGAGGCAGGAGGACTGCTTTCTGCCAGGGTGGAGGGATGGCTAAATGCCTGTGATGGGCAGTGAAATCTGGGCTACAAAATAAACATTGTCCCTGCACTGCTGCAGGGACATGTGGCTGAGCCCAGGGCAATTGTTGGCAGGCAGAAGCTGACTATGAAACAATCTCTTCTGGCAGCAAAGGATGTGGTGATGCTGGCAGGGTATTTCTGCAGGGCAGGAGTACAGCCCCTTCTCAGCTTCTTAGCAGTAGTGTTTATTGATTTGAAGGCCTGTATTGGTACAGCACTACAGCAGCGCTGCAACCTGGGGGGAGAGGCAGTTGGATTTTAGTCAATACACTTTTAAATCAAGCTAGTTATCTCTGTGTTTGTGGGGTTTCTGAAGCGATCACTTAAAAACAGATAAATCGTGATATAAAGAAGACTTACCACCTCTGTGAGGAATTATTGTAGAGTCAAACACCTCCTTATTACTGTGATCACGAAGCCACCCAAATTAACACTTCTGTGTGTCACAGAGCATTGGCAAAACAAATCTAATGCACAGCCACACAAGAAAACAACTGATAATGCCAGAAAATGCAATTGCTAAATTATACCGACTCTATAATCCCTCGCTCACGCGGCAGCTCCGGGTTTCAGCCAGGATGGCTTTTCCTTGGCTTCTAAGCGCCACCTGCTGAAACACAAAGCGTGTCAGAGCCCAGCCCTTGGACGCCGCTGGTGCCATCACATCGCGCAGCTCCAAAAGCGTTGCTCAGATCGGACCTGGGGGAAAAATCAACCCCACAACAAACTAAGCAATATTTCACTTATTTGTAGTCTATGGCCCTAATGAAGTTTGGACAAATAAAAGCAAAAGACGGTTTCCAGGATTTCTTCATCTTTAAAATGAAGTAGGCAGCAGTGTCCACAGAAGAACTAACTCCATAGCAGTAACTCAGAAATTCATTTTTTGTTACCTAAGAATGAGAAAACCAGTGTTTACAAGGGTGATGGCTGTATATTGTGGCTCAATGGACTCTATATTTTGCAAAACTTCTTTTGCATCTTCCAGGGAAGTCAGATTTTTACATGTATTGCTGCAGCAAGCTCCAACACAGAATTTAGCTGAATGACACTAAGACCAATGGATTGAGATTCTTTCACTAGGAAATAGAGCTGCTGCTGCTTTGGGCTAAAAAAAAAAAAAAAAAAAATAGTTTTTCCAGTTACTGTTAAATATTGATGGCATAACTTACATGTCACAGCAAAATTAGATTAGTCCAACATCAGGACCATCAGTGAATGAATATAAGAAGCCCCAAAGTTTTGTCAAGCAACAGAAAAAATGAGACACAAAGCAGAAATGCATTGATGAAAATGTCTAAAGGAATAAATCTATGCCACAAAGTTGGAGCTTCTCCAACAGAGTCTGACAATTGTTTTTCCAGAAAATGTACATAAGCTGAAAAAAACCATGCCACCTTTTGAAACTAAAAAATCCCAACCAACAGAAAAAAAAAAAAAAAACCAAAAAAAACCCCAAAAACCTAACCAAAAAACCCCACCATGTTTTAAATGAAAAAAGGAACAGAATTTATCTCAGGAAAATAAACACTTCCCACCTTTTACCACAATCTCTGCTTTTCCACAGAAAACCAGACTTGATTCAACTTCCACAAACCCTTGCGCTTCCTTTCTTTCCAAGATATCCAAAGGCTGGATCCTGTCCCCAGTCTGCAGCTGCAGCTCCAGTTGGGATCAGCAGCAGTGCTTGAGCTGGGGGGAAGCCTGGGTCCATGTTTTTGTGGAGCTGAGGCTGCTGTACCTGGGGTGGCTGCAAACCTCCAGGCATGAGCATGGAAGAGGTGCTAGAGCCAAAACCAAGCTCTCTTTAAAACCACAGGGGTTTCAGGCTCTGCTGAGGCACACCCGTATGGACAGGGGCTGCTGCAAACAGAGAGGCAGCTTTCAGCCACCTGAGGGCTTGGTGTTAAGCACTGGCTACTGGGAATCCTGGTTTCTGCTCACCCTACAAGGGGGGAAAGCTAAAGAAACAGGATGAGCTGTAATCACAGTGACAATGGACAGTAGCAGCTGCTGGCAGTGCCAGGTTGCCCTTGGCATTACCTCTTTACTGGGAAACCTCAGTGTGCTGCTGCTGCTGCTGCTGCTGCTGCTGCTGCTGCTTCCAGTGTGGAGGATGGGAGATGCAAGACAAAAATCAGGAAAATCATTGGTCTTGCTCCTTCTGCCAGTGACAGCTCTGTGATGGCAAAGCCGTGCTCTGCCCACACAGCTGCAGAGGTTTGAGGTAGCACTGTGTGCAAGGAATTACATAAAGGCAAGCTGGCTTTCATACAGCATGCACAGGTGATTTCATCTGCAAGACTTCTGCTGCTGCCATCTGCCTCTGCCAAGATAGCTTTGTGTCACAAGAGCAGCAGAATGAATCAGATCACTGAAAATCTCCTGTGGTCTAGTTTCAAGAATATATGGCAGAGAGTGGGGCTTGCATTAAACTCAGGTGCTTGAATCAGAATTTTGTTCTGCAGGAGAAAGTATTAAAAAAAAAAAATTCTGTTTTTTTTTTTTTTTTCCACAAAAGCCAAAAAAATTTCCTCTCACAGACAGAAACATGAACCACAAAGAGCACAGGGAGGCCAGAATGAAATGTAGCAAAGGAAGCAGCTGAAGTGCCATCTTTCCAAGAAGAATACACCAGAAGAAAAGGCTGTCCCACTCATCCTTTTTCCCATAGCTGGTGCTCTTTTAGGGTAGTGGGGTGGTGTCACTGAGGTGCTCTGATGGCTCATACAGAGGCAAGAAGTGGGGGTAGTGTTCTGGAAGAGTTATAGGGGCCTTTTCTCTTGTTCCTGCAGGGCTCTACCAACATTTTTGGAGCAAACTTCAGTGCAGGCTGTTGAGCAGTGTAGACCTTATTCCTGACAGGACAGAATAAGTGTGCCAGGCAGCAGGCTGAAACTCAAGATGCAGGCCAAACCTCCACCTCTGGGACTGCCCCCCTGCCCTGCAGAATCAGATGTTCCTGTGGTTTGTGCCATCCTGTTCAGCAGCTGTTGCACAATCAGAATGAAGAAATAGAACATGAAGCACCGACCAAGATCTCCCATCTTGATGCTAGCACCAGATACAATGGTGTGCATTGCCACCTATCTCACAAAATCTGCTGCATGTGCTGTGAAGCCACAGGCTGGCAGGACAGCATCACCACTTATCTCCTGCATCTGCTGGGTCTGTAACCAGCACACTGCAGCTGCAGCTGAACAGGGGCCTTTCATCTTCATTTTTGGGTCTCCCAGATCACAGAGGGGGAGAGAGAAGTGCTGAAGGAAGGCTCTGGGCGCTTGTTGCTAGTCTTGAATATCCCTCTTGTCTGGTTCAAATCCCTTTAACTTTCCTTTAATCCCTGAAAAGTACTTCCTCTGCACAACCAACGTGTGTGTGTCCAGTGTGCCATTATGGCTGCACGTTCCCCAGTAGAGATTTTACTATCTAGCAACTAATGTCAGTGTTTGTTCCATTAATTTGCACATATATTAATCAAACTACATTTCGTACAGGACAGATTCCAATTTGAGTTCTACAGTGTCTGATTACTAGTGAAAAATCATCGGTTTTGTGTTCCCAGATTTTTTTTCCTCTGCAAGCACTATACCTTTTCTGAAGTTACCAGCTGTTATTCAGACTGCTCTAAGAGCAACTCTGTTCCCACAGAAGTGAAAAGAAACTTTGCTCCTGATTTCCAAAGCACATGAAACCAGCCCTTGGAAACATGGTTCTGTACAAATGTTGAAGTGACTCTGCTGGGAACCACGCTCTCAGGAAACATATCCAGTGAGCAATGAGGTCCGCACGCAGGCAGACCTGAGCTGGGAACTGTTCCGAAAGCATCAGGGATACACCACCCTGGTGAGGTGAGGGGGCTTTAGTTTTCCTGGATCACATCCTTCAAGTTCCCCCACAAACCCCATTAGTCCAGCTCAGTGTAGAAATCTTGTCCTGAAGCACAGGATTTTTCCCAGCTGCCACAGGCTCTGGGAAGCTAAGGCTCCCAGAACCTAGTGACAAAACCTCCACTGGTTCCCAAAAAGTACAGTTGCTTTCACTACCAATCCTCCCTTCTGAAAATTTTTATTGGTTTGGGATTAAATAAAATTGGAAGGTATTAGTACCAAAGACAAACTGGCTGCAGTTACTCAAATTAAAACTGCTACTTCCCCTTGAACAAATATCAGCCTGTCAGATCACTGCAGGCTCTAAAGACATGAGATAGCAAGTTAAAAGGAAATGTTTCTTTCATTTTGTGATTCCCACAATCCATCCACATCACTTTATTTCTGTTTTAAAGAGAAGAGAGATAGCATGACACCATGTTGTGAAATCAATTAATCAAAGAGAAGTTAATGGATTCTATTCAAGCTGCCAGACCACGTACAGCCCCTATTTGATAGTAAGTTTGTTTTTCATATATATTGGCACTTCAGTAGCATTACAGTAAGTAAAGGCTCCTCTTTTGATGGCTGGCAATTATAAAGAGATTTTCTCCACCATTTTCCAGTGTCAGCCATACAAGTTTCCAGAGTCTTACTGGTCAAGAAACCAATAGAGCTTGCACAACCTTCACTAAGGAATTGCAAGCAGCTTTGGTCATACTGAGATCACTGCAGGACAAAAGAAAAATAGGGCTTGCAGAGGATCAGTGCAGCAAGCATTCAGGACTTCAGTGTTTGAACTGTTAGCAACCCAGGCTAAGAGCTGCAGCTTCATGACAAAGGCTGTTTTGAAGTCCATTCTATAATCCTGTACTGCTTTTAGCTGGCTGCCAGCTTTCAATGGAGCAAATGCTGCGATGCACAATGCATTTACTCTCTGCTACACTAGCAGCTTCTCAGTCTGGGAGAGCAGCAAAATGATGAGAGAGGAGCAGAAAGTAGAGGAAAAAAGAAAAAGGTATCAAAGCAGGAAAAATTAAGACACCATATACTCACGCACTAGGAGTTTTTTTAGGATTTTTTTTACAGTTTCCTTTGTGTACCATTTCTGCCCTATCTGTATGGACAAAGGACAAAAGATGAACTGAGACAGCCTTACTGATGTGACACGAAGGGTAGGTTCCCAGTCTTTATTCAGCATCAGAAACAGAAGACAACAAGATAAGAAAGTTATGAGTTCTTCATTTTTGGAAAACTCTCTGAAGTCATATCTTGGTCATTGCAAATACAAATAAGTAGTAAACAACTTTCAGTGTAGGTCTGTACAGGCAACAGCTACCAGGTCAGCAAACATCCCAGGAACAGAGAGAATACTGTAACACATATATCCCCTTTGAAGAAAAATAGAAGTAAAATGATCTCATAATCAAAATGATCCTGAGCCAGGATAAAAAACAGGGCTTTAAAAAGCATTTTGCATTTTTCCTGGTTCATGTCTCCCTGTCTTTGACTGCCCCTCCAGCCTCCCAGTACTGGGAACTCACATGCTCCCAGCAGCAAGACCAGCAGCTGCTCTATCACACCAGTGAGACCCACAAAGCCAAGAGATACTGCAGTGCCACAGGTGAAAAGGTCTGCATGACCCTCTTGGGACAGACTTCCTTCCATTTATAACAGCCTGTGCAAGACCACCACACTTCAGAATATTTTGATTTCCATCAAAATATTCTGTCCTAGGGTGATGTTATGATGCTTGTATCCCCAGTCATTGTTCTGTTTATGCTGGATATTATATTCTGTGCCTTCAAGACTGGCTCTGAAAAGTGAAGTTTTGTTTTGTTATCACTCTCTCTCTCCCCAAAGTCAGGGGACACAGATGGGGCAGTACATAGGGCAGCTTTGGCTTTTTGCTCTTGCTTTTGCTTTGTTCTTGTTCCTGCTTTTGCTCTTGCTTTTGCTTCTGCTCATTAGTTAGTTTAGCTAAGTAGGCAGAATTTTTCCCTGGACTGTTTTTCCATTCCCTTTTTTGGAACCCCTCGAACCTGCTCTGGACTGGGACCTGGGAAACACCAAGAGTTTGCACCTTGTGGCCTAGCGGGGCCTACTCTGGGCAGCAGCTGCCCCAGCGCCGGAGGGACTGATAACAGAGCGACCACCCCCAGGAGAGACTTTCTGAATTTATCATCTTTTTCAGAGTGATGAAAAAGATGAGTGATGAAAGAGTTTTGTCATCCAGTATTGTTCATTTTGTCTGCTGGGGGGTGCTTTGCCTGTTAAACAAACAGGTTCTTTCCACTTCTCTCTGACGAATCCTTCCCGAACCAGTTGGGGGGATCTAGGGGGATGGAATATAGGTAGATGAAGGTGGTGTGGAAAGTAATCTTACCCCCTAAAGAGTTGATGCAGCTGGGTTAATTATTAAAGATTAGGAGCAGACCTGATTTTAACAGGCCACAGCTGTAGCCAATAAGAAGAGTGTTATAAAAGAGTGGATTGGTTGGTTGGGGGGAACTGGAGTTAGTTGGCTACTGTGAGGACAAGGAAGAGTCAGTGCCTGGAGGAGCTGCCTACAAGAAACATCAAGGGGGTATGAAATTCTAGCAATATGGAACCCTTGCAATGTAATGATAGTAGAACTCTTGCACTATAATGACAACAGGGGGAGGGGCTATATGGATTTGCTTTCTGGAGGGGCCCCCTTTGGAGGTTTTCTCCCAAATTTGCCCTAAACCAGGATGCCACCTCTTCCATCCTCTGCAAAGCAGAGCTGTATCTAACATTGTAAAGGGGATGTTCAGGAGCCACAGCAACCTACTGCAGATACCAGAAAATAAAAGAACAGCTCATCTCAGAAAAGAAAAGACATGCCAGGGATGGAAAGAGAAAAAGGACAGATGTGTGGGGTGGCCAAATGCCAGATCTACTCTCTGCTCTGATCCCCTGAGGCTGAGATGACCGAAGCATCTGGGAATTAATTCTGCAGATTGAAAGTAATTGGTACAGTTACTGGAAACTGTTGTTATGGAACAGGAGGGTGTTGTTGTGCATAACTTTATCAGAAGTACCTATAAAAGGTGGAAGAGGAGTCTTGCCTCTTTAACTATATGATTAGAGTTTCCAAGCATTCTTCATCATGATGATAAAGTAGACATCTGTGTCTATTGAAGCACTGACTCCAGCATAGTAGTTCATGAATTCTTCTTTTGTGACCTGAGATAGAGAAAATAAGAATAGGAAAATGAGCCTTTGCTTTTATTTAATGCTGTAAGTAAAAACAACACATTGAGAAGAACCTTTAATGAAACTGAACATCTGCTATTTCATGTTGTGGCTAACAAAAAGGAATCCAACAGGAGAAATTAAGACATTTATACTTCACTTTGCTAGAAACAAGAGCTCTTGTCCTCCACAACACTTGGATGGAGATGAAACGTGAAGTTTAACTAACCTTACCAGCAACTGAAGTTAAAATCACTGCTGCCTAAGAAGACAAATTTTTAATGTACTTTTTTCCAGGGATGCTATAATCTGGTTCTTTGCATAATTATTAATAAAGTGGGTGAGGTTTCTGATGCAATTCAGAGACAGCTTGGAACTTTACATCCACCCCTAGAGAGAAAATATCATTGCTCTAAACAAGTTTCCCTTAATGAAGCAAATATTCTTTCAAATATTTAAGAGTTTTAAATAGCTTTCATGGCTATTTTGAGGTTTAAAAATTACAATTAAAAAAAATCAAATTAACCAAGAGAAAAACTGTGCAAGTCTCTTGTGATGTCTTAACTTTTGAATTGTGTAGGTTATTCTTTGAATAAACAAAGAAAAATTTGAAAAATACAAAACAACATTAAAAAGACATTTAGCTATTAGAGAGTGTCCAAAGGAGGGCCAGGAAGATGGTGAAGGGTCTGGAGGAGTGGCTGAGGTCTCTTGGTCTGTACAGCCTGGAGGAGACTGAGGTGAGACCTCACTGCAGCTACAACTCCCTCATTAGGGGAGAAGGAGGGGCAGCCACTGATCTCTGCTCTGGGGTGACAGTGACAGGACCCAAGTGAGTGGCCTCAGGTTGTGTCAGGGGAGGTTTAGCCTGAATGTCAGGAAAAGGTTCTTCCCCAGATGGTTGTGGGGCACTGGAATGGGGTCCCCAGGGCAGTGCTCACAGCACCAGCCTGACAGAGGTCAAGAAGTGTTTGGAGAATGCTCTCAAGCACAGGATGTGATTTCTGAGTGTGCTGTGCAGGGCCAGGAGTTGGACCTGATGATTCTGATGGGTTTCTTCTAACTCAGCCTATTCTGTGATTCCATGGTATCTGCTCTGATTGCATTGTGTGTTTGAGAACTTAGCATGACAATAGGGAGATAAGACCACTTCAGACTGTCCTACCATCACAAGATGATTACAAGCCTCACTAAAACTGCCTGTTTCAGAAGCACCCAGCAAGACCACATGAAGACAGCATTTTTTAGCAAATGCTCAACCTTGAGGCATTTCTGCTAAAAACATTTTAGGTGTTCAGTATCATTAGTGTCTTCTGATTCGGGAAAGCTACAGTCTCTTCTCAGAAGAAACAGTAATCAAGTGAGCTAATATCAGGATTGCTGACCAAGAGGTGGATGCTCAGAGTAACCAGGCACTGAAATCATCAGGGATCAGTTTGGGAACTCATTTAATGTGTTCATTCATATATGACCTCAGCACATAAAGCAGGAACATTTTGCTGGAAATTTGCTGGATGTCACCCCTGGAAGTCGAAGGGCATAGCTGGCTCTGAGCCGGTATCTCTGAGGATGACACTGCAGCAGAGGGCATGAAATTCAGCTCTACTAAGTGCAAAGTCATGCCTAAAGTAGATAAAACCACAAAAGAGACCCTTATCGGTGGGAACAAGGAAGTGAAGGATTTGGATGGAGCATTAGACAGGTAGAGTTACCAGTGCAATGCAGCCCAGGAGAGTGAGAAATGTTAAAGACATTCCACAAAGCACTGATTAAAAACTTACAGCCTCATTTGTTATTATTAACTGCTCAGATTGAGAATATCACCAAGTGAACCACAGAGATACAGGATTGCTCTGAGCTGGTCAACAGATGTAAGTTTGGACCAAAGTCTGCATAACAAGGGGAAAGAGCATGTTTGGCTCAGAGATGGTTGCAGAGCAGATGTGTAAGAAGTCCATCACAGAAGTTGCCCAGACTTTGCACCTGAACCAGAGAGTTGAGCCAGAGTGCAGGAAGGGCTCGCAGCTCTGTCCTAGCTCATGGCTCCTCAGGGTACACACCCATGGCAGTAGTCCCAGCCCCATTTTCCCTCCAGTTCTCTGTAGATAAATCTGTCCCTATTATGGACTGATTTCTAAATCTCAGTAATTACACTGGAGAAGAACTAACTGTAAAGTATTTAAAAAAGCAGGGGGCCTGCTTTTGAACTGGATCATAGTCTTTATTCTCCTAAAAAGTGAAAAATCCCCCAGTTTATGTGGATCATGAAAGTCAGCAATTTTGTGGGGTAGTCTGAAGATGTACTTAGTGTAATCTATGAAATTGGATTATTAAGGCTACAAGCTTTAATGCAGTCTCACAACCACCCTTGTACAGAGCCCCTTTGCTTCAGAATGTGCAAACTAGCTGTATCAGGAGTGTTGTGCACAGGTTATGCATCTACTTCGATTTTCCATATATATGTGATGCAAATGGATGTTTGGTACTGCAATTACTCCCCCACTTAATAACCTAAGTCGAATTCTGAGTCAGATGGTGATTTCATGGCTTGCAATCAGGTGCTTCACTTACCTTCCCATCTTTGTCATAGGGTGAATCAAAACTATCCAGAAAGGCTCTAAAAACTTGATCTTCTGTCCAGTCTCCGTTTAGGTATTTGGGATGATATTTTGCATTATACATCCCGCGTAAGTCTTCAATTGTTATGACGCCATCTCCAGTCTTGTCCAACTTCTGAAATGCCTGCATGACAATCTCTTTTCTTGCATTGGACATGGGAGGCTGTAAAGAAATATTAACAGAATAATTTTATTTTTGCCAACTACTTGCCCAGTTCCAAATTCAAGTACCTGTTGTTGCTCGTAGCAAAACTTTCAAGGGAGATGGGACAATATACTGGTGATAGTTTACACTGTCCAGGAGCTAGAAAGGGCAATATGTCATCAAAAGAGCAATATGATTAAGACTATTCAGTGTATACCCATACAATAGCAAATGGACAATAGGAGAGAAAATACTACCTAGAACACTTTTCTGATCTGCCCATTTTAAATATTTCCAAGAAGAAATTACTAATTATCCAAAGTACTGGTATTTTCTGTCTTAATTATTTAAGCTTCAGCAGACCAAAGATACTTCAGACAAAATCAATCACTGTGGTGGAATAGAGAAAGCACCCCCTGAGTAAGTTCATGTTATAAAGAGATGCATCATAAAATGGCTGACAAAGAAGTGAGATTGATGGGTTGAACTGCACAGGTACCCAGACTGCAGCTCAGGAATTTCAGTATCTAAATCAAGGCCACAATTAATTGGAAAAAAATCACAACTGTTTATTTGCAAATATTCTGTTCTACTTTGTTCTGTTCTGCTATATTTTAATCCATTTAATGCAATAACAGCAAATTCTCAGACTTACTCTCAGTGTAGCAAGAAATTCATCAAAATCAATTGTGCCACTGCCGTCTTTATCAAATATCTGGAAAAGCTCTTGAGCTTCTTCTTTATTGATCATCACAGCATAATTATGCAGTCCTCTCAGAAACTCATTGAAATCAAGGGTTCTGCTATTGTTATCATCAATAATCCTAAACGCTCTGTAGAAAACATGAAATTTGAGGAAAATGCATAGGAAAACATGGAGAATGCTGCAGTGGTTAGTACAGTACTGGAGTAGAGAGGCACCTTACTGAGATAGCATTTCCTCCTTGCTCTGTGTTCTGAGGTGGGGAAAAAAGAAATAAATAAAAAACCCTGACCAACAAACCCCCTACACTTATTGGCAGTAGAGATTACTTGTTTAGATAAGGGGTATGAGTATTACATGCCTGAAGTTAAATGAGGGAAAGGCTGCCATGGTATTCCTGTTCATTATAGCCCTTTGCCCCTGCAAGCTGCACATTTAGATGAAGTTCCAAATTTAGATGGAGTTCCAGTTGGTCACCATCTGGATCCATTTGTGGTGTATGGGGCCTGGGAGGGATCTCAGGGTGTGATGTAACACCCATTTCCTAGGGATGGGATGCTTGCAAAAACGTTTTAGGTGCCTCCCCTAAACTAGACAGCTGATAGACCATTACAACAAGGGCATCATACCCAAAAGGGAAGGAAGCTTAAAATCTCCAGTGCTGAAATACTTAAGATAATTTTAGAAGACTCCAAGGAGAGATATATGGTTAATGTTCCCTTCTTTTCTCTGGCAGGGGTTGTTCTGGAAGGACTTTCTCATGAGGGATTCACAGTCTTCAATCCTTCAAAAGGTAATCAAGTTAGTCCTGTGTCCCAAAAAAATAAGCCCCAGTGGCAGGCTCTGTGGGTTGTGGCATTTGTACTGAAATGAGAAAACTCAAGAAGACTTGAAAACTCAAGTTTTGGTCCCTATTTATGGTGTGAGCCTCTTGCTGCTAAAATTATTAGGCTGAATAATGGGTTTGACATCTTGCTTACTCACCTGCCAAGTCCTTTGATGCCTGCAGAACCCCTTGCTAAACAGTGTAGGCGAAGCCTTTCTATAGGGTTGGTGATTGTGGGCAGGCTTTTTTTTGCATTGATTGCCATCTCTCGGTCATGCCTTGCTGTGCCCATCTGGAAGACCAAAACACTGATGTGGTGTGGATTCACATTCAGACACAGTGCTGAAACTTGCCTTAGTATACAAAGCATCCCAAATCCCTAACTTGCAAACTGCTGGTTGCAGCTCTTTCATGAGGACCCATTTTGACCCTCTGTTTCCTTTTCCTTATAGCCTTCTATCAGAAAGAGAAATTGCCAGTATAGGTCACTGACCATGAAAGGAGGGCTCAGCCAACCACCCTGTGATTAATCCAGATGCAGACAGGAAACTGTGTGTAAAAATTTCTGCCTACAGTGTGAGAACACTGTGACAACTGGTGGATACACTCAGGAGTGTGTGACTCCCTCTCTGTCCACAGCATCCTGGCCAAGCCTCTTCCACCTGGCCAAATTTGCAGCTGTCATTTGACCACAGGAAGACAAAAATTTTCCTGGCTGGGGACCTTTGCCTCTGATTCACTTTTGTTCCACTGAGGTCCCGATTCTGCAGAGCAGAGATTTCTCCCATTGCATGTCTGAGCAGCAGCAGTCACCTCCACATGACACCTACTGCTTTTTTAACACAACTGCAGAACAAATGAATACCTTAAACTTCCACAGTATTTAGCACCCCAGGATTTCACATGCAGAAACAAAAGCCTTCCAGCTTCTCTCAGAGGAAAACAGTGGAATAAAAATAGGGAAAACCAGCTTGTGACTCTGCAGTGCTGCAACAGCACCACCAAGAGAAGCATGCCCAGGCTGGCAGAGACCCACTGCCTCTCCCACAGGGATTATTTGTGCCTAGTGCTATGAAAAGTGGGACTGCCCATGCTGATATTTTAGGGCCACAGTGAATCCTGGGCACATGCTCAGTGCCAAGACTGCTTTTCCATAGGCTGGCTGATGGGTCTGCAGCAGGCCATGAAGACTCCCAAAATATTTTCCAGCCTTTCAAACATCATAGGATAAGGGCACACAAGAGTCACAGAAGTTACAGCAGAGCTCTAGACTCAGAAGGCACCTGGTGCTCTGCTTGAGGCCGTGCTGGGATGAGGAGATGAAGCTGAGCAGCGGTGTGAGGCACTGTCAGTGCATGTGACACTTCCAATCCCATTGTGATTCCATGTGCAAAAGTGTGAATTGAAATGACCAGACAAAACTTCTAAGAAAAATGGAATTAAACTATTTCATCTTAACTGTTCATCCACTCCTGTTTACAGAGCATGGGCTATGGCTGCTGGTAATGCCAAATATGCTGAATTTTATAGCCACTTTAGATTACTCCAGCTGGGCTTGGAAAAAGAGAAAAATAAAATGGTTTTGTACTCCCCAAATGGTTTCAGTACTAGCTTAATGTAGAAGTCTAGAGAAGTAAAATATAGAGCATTTTGGCCTTTGCTTCAGACAGAGTAAGCGAAGTTCTTCTGGGAACTCATTAACCAGTGATCAGGAAGATCTCACAGCTGTGTGAGATCAGCAGCCAAAAATGTTTTTCACAAACAGTGACCTATCCTTAAAGGGGAAATGTTTAGCTGGAAAGACTTTAAAATACAATGAGGTTACAGAAATACAGTGCAAACTGTATTTGTGTACAAATACAGTGCATTATGTACAGTGCAAATGTACAGTGCATTATATAATAATGTACTATTGCTTATATATAATATATAGCAACAATACATCTACATACAGAGTACATGATGGAAGTGTATCATTGTGCAGTGTGATTCTCTCTACGCTGTTATGTCAATTATGGATTTCTATAAATACTGAGACCAACAAGGACATAATTAATCTCTACTGCACACTACAAAAATCTACACAAACACACACACCATGAAAAGAGTCTGGCATCTCCTTGCTTCAGGATCAGTAATTTCCAGAATACTGCCAGGTGCATCAAATAGTCATTGCAGTAATACTCATGAATTGAGGATATGGAGGGATAATCTGATTTGTTATCTGTTATGATCTCTTGAACCTCAATAAAAGCCACTGAAACTGGCCAATCCTCTGTAATTTCTGCAGTAAGAATAAAGTTTGCTTCTACATCTATAAGCATTTCTGCCTCAGAACTCACCATTTCTAGGCTAAGTTGTTCCAGCTTTGAATAACTTTTAATATATGCAGTTTCTAGTCTGAATTTCCACCATATTAGATGCTGGTTTACTCTCTTTTTACAAGATTAAAGAGCTACCTATTAAAATGTGTCCAGGTGTAAGTACTTGAAAGTCCCTTTTAAACTCACTTTCACTTAGTAATTAGGCATAGCTCAAGACTCCTGGTACAAAATGAATTTCCAGATGTCAGATAATTCTGCTGTTGCTCTCAAACTTCTCAATTTTTTCCCAATGTTCCTTCTGAAATGGGTCAGAGCAGTCCAGTAATCTCACTAATATCATAGGTAAAGATATTCCCACTTCTTTTCCCCCCAGATATCATGGTTAAAACCACTAATAATAAATATTTCTGCTGCTCTTTGCAAATCTGCATTCTCTGTAATGTTCACTAACAAATCACCAACAACAAGTTTCTATACAAAACTCAGCAATTAAAGTCTGTTTGCAAAGTAATTGAGTTTTCACATCACACTAAAGCCTCTTAAACAGGAGCTGGCTTCCTGTGCCACATGGCAGTAAGCATTTGAGAACCCTTTTTATACATCCAGAAAATACAGAAAACCAGTTAAATATAAAACCTGCGACTTGCAAGCCTGGTCCATAGTGACACTTGTATCACTTTACTGTTTCTGTTGGCTGCAGGCTTAAGTTTGAGGTGAACCCTTCCTAGGCTATATTGTAAGAAAAGAGATTCCAAATCAGTGCAAGGAGGGAGGAATCACTGTAATTCACATGCTCTTTCCTCCTCTTTCATTTTGCTCTTGCTCCTTTTTGGATAATGTGAAGAAATTAAAGATGCAGCCAGGGTTTGTTGAGTATAACCATTCTCTGCATAGTGTACAAATGTGTTACATCTTAATACCATTAATAAAACAAGAACAGGTCATAAAAGTAATTCCAAATGGTTTTAATTTGTGTATCTCATCCAAGACCATCAGATATCTCCCTCAGTGAAATTAACCAGCAGTGTTTATTTTAATTTTGAATACTGGAGAGTTTGTTTTATTTAACAGACTAGGCTATGAACAATTACCCCATGCTGTCAGCATTGTTTGTTTCTATAGGTGATGTTGTGTTGTGCAGGCCAAACAGAAATGATTGCATTTATTCCTAACAAAAACAAAACCTTAAATTTTGGATTGGATTTTTCCAGAAGAATTTTAGACTGTTCAGCAACCAGATCCCTTTACATTCCTCTCTGCCTGAGGATTAAACCTGGAAAGAGTCAGATCCAGTCTAAGCTCTGCAACATTTGTTTAGATATTATCCTTCAGCTGAGCCCACCCAAGAGCCTCCTATGAAAATCCTCAAAGCTACTGCAGTAGGACAGGCAGAGTCCCATCTGGATTGCCCAGGCTCTGACAGCCCTCACCTGTCAAAGGCCAAAGACATGAGTGGCATACCACCCACCCCAGAGCAGAGGATCTCAGGATCTAAGAATAAATTAAGTGGCCTAAACCAATTGCACACATTTAGTTTACTTCTCATAATTTCATTGAATCATTAAAAGCACAAAAGCTGCAGGAGTATTTGACAACCGCCTAAACACCTCCTTAAAAATTTGGCTCCCCAGCCTGACTGACCCCTCTGCAGCAGCCTCCCATGTCTCTCTCCATCGTGACCAGCTTCATCCAGCTTCAACCTTCTGACAGGTGGACATTACTGCAATTGCTCTTTTGCATATATACATACACATTTATAAATACATATATGTATTTATATATCTAAATAAAAACTAGATTTTAAAAAATTAGATTTAAAAATTAGATTTAATTGAAATTGATGAAACTACTCTTGGCTGATCAGAGAAACTTACTGTGAGGTAATAAACAGGAAAAAAAAATCCCTTACCTGCAATGCTTTCCTGAACCTGGGGTTTCCACTCAGGACTGGAAGGTGTTTGGGAGGCTTGGATAGTGTTGTGCTTCAAGGCTCAAGCAACAAGTTCAGGTGAAAATGGGCCACAGCCTCACTGCAAAACTTCCTTATCCATCTCGTTTTACCTGTTTACACACACGGCTGCCTTGGCCCCCCTTTTTTGGGAGGCCTGGAGTTTGCCTGCTGGTCTCCAAGGTGACACTGTAGGCAGTGGCTGGCCCAGCCTGCAATTACGCTGCTTCCCTGGACAATTGCTTTGGTGTTTCAAGAGCCTTTTCATTTCTTTTAAAAATAATGCCTTTTCTTCTTATCTTTGCCCACATGGGCTGGAGAGCAGGGGAGAGTGGGAGACACCTTGTGCTGCCCCTTGCTGAGTGATAAGACCAAGGCAGAGTGGCTGTGGGAAAGTGCTGCATTGCATGGTTGTGTTTCTAGAACACGTTTCCCTGCTTTCATAGTTGATAGGGTTGAAAAAACTCTCTGGTTCAATTGTTTACTCAAAACATAGTAGAAGAATGTAAGTAAAGGACTGTCAGTTGTGGTTCACAAAGGAAAAAACCCCTCACCAGCATAAATTTTATCCCTGATGATTAATTGCCACTTTGAAGACCCACTGGTGGTTAGAACTTCTGGGGAGATGCTGAGCTTGTGTTCATTTGTAGCAAGAAGAAAGCTGAAAAGGTTAAACACCCATATGATAAGGAAAAATTGCTCCCTCCCTAGACACAGCTATTAGCAACTCGGTCTGCAGAAGGTCACAAATATTGTCAGTAAGATAATGTACCACTTTGGTAGGGAATCAGGATGTTGTTAGATTCCTTAGGGGTAGGAAATAGCCTGTGTGTGTTCCTGGCCCTCTGGGGAAGCAGCAAGGTGAACATGTAAGATCAAGGCTGATGGCAAAGGCAGCTTGTAGAAGTCAGTGTGAGAGCACGTGGGAAATGAAGGGAGAGCCCTGTTCTGGCCATGGATGAAACACTGAGCAAGAACAAAAAAGTGCATCGCTTCCTGGCAAAAGCAGAAAATTATTTTAGGCAATTGCTAGACTAATACCACTTGCATCCTGGCAGGCTGCTTATCTCTCATCAACAGGTACTTCCTGGTACTAAACCAAAGCTTGTGCAAGACTTAGAATATTCTTTTATATCTCTTGTGTGGCAGCTGATTGCACATTAATGCATAAGCAGGGAACAAGGCTTATTTAATCATTCACTGATTCAGAAATACTGCCTTTGTGAAAATATAACATCCTTCCATCCTCTATCTTTGTTTCATGGATTGATCTCCAGAGACCTCCTGGGAATGCAGAAGAGATAAAGGGCTATGAACATTATCTGGGCTGCTGCCTGGTCACACACTGCAAAGAAAAAACAGAGGCACCAAGGGCCAGAAAAATGGTTTTCACTGAACAAGTTGGTCCTTGGAACTCAGCCTCCCACCCCAATAAAGAAATTGTTCAAGTGCAGAATTTGCATTGACTTTCAGGGGTTTGCAGCAGATTGAAACAACAGGGGTGGGCTCTTGAAAGCAAAAAAAAAAAAAAAGTTAATTCAATATCTGGATATTCAGCTGCATTCTGCTGCCTTTTCTTCCCTCTGCCAGTGAGCCCAGGGACACACAGACACACAGGGATATTTACTCTACACTCCTCTGGAAACTGGAGTCCAGCTAATGACATTGGTTAATGACTTACCAATCTGAAAAATTATTAACAGGCTTTCAGGTGTCTCAGATTACATCAGGGTGTGATGAAATTTACTTGGTTGTACCTGCTCTGTCACTGTGCACAGAGCTGTAAGCAGAGTTCAGTGAATTCAGAATTTATCATAAAGGATATAGGGATTTCATCAGTACTCTGACATTTTTCCTTATCATTTTCTAACTAGCACTGAATATATACATACCTAGTTGATGGTTTTTTCTGAACAGCCTGGGCTGTCTGCTCAGTTTGTAGTTCAGCACTGGACTGAATTAACTAAGGAAAATATACTATGAGGCCTAATGTGATCTATAAACTCATGACAGAGTCAATTTAAGTCAATTGAAGTTTCTAAAAATTCAGATTTTCTGTTGAATTTAGCCAGGAGGGAAGGTATAATTCTTTATAAACTTTATAAGAAGTGTCTCAAAAAAAAAAAAAAAAAGCAGCCCTAGTTGTTTTGCAGTTTAGTTTACAAGTTTTAGCACTGTTTCTTAATCTGCCACCTGTGACCATTGTTGTGGAGAAGCTCTTCGGCTATGAGAAGAACAGATATGAGCATATCTGCTTGTCCTTGGTAGAGAAACCAGCAGGGTTGTTTGTGTGGAATAGAGATTAAAAAACAAATAGCAAGCATGAAGTCCCAGAACACTATGTAGCAAAGATGGATAAACCAGGATTTACGGGATAAACCTCTGTGGTCTTTTTCCTGCCATTAAAATTAAGAAAGTTTCGCATACACTAAAAAAGAAACCTTCGTCGTAAGTACATTGTCAAGGGAAAAGTATTCTGATTTTAAACCAAGATGTAATCCAATTAAATTACAGAATCACAGAATGGTTTGTGTTGGAAGGGACCTTACAGATCATCTAGTTCCAAACACAACTGAACTCTGATTCTAAATAAAATGCTTTTATATCCAAAAATGCCGTCTCCCTGTGTGGTTTGGAGTTATCCAGCTGAAATTAATTGTCTGCTCTCCAGAGCAGACACCAGCAGGCACATGCAGACTGTGCTCATGCTACTGAGCTAATTCCCTAGAGAGTGGTCACCACCAACCTGCCTGCTGGGTGCTGGCCCCAGACCAGCTCTGTCACAGAGCCCCAGCCCAGTCCCCACGGTGGTCTGACCCCACACCAGTGACCCTCACCTCACCCCTCTGCACTGAGGAGCATTTCCAGCCCAAAGGGTGCACGCTGCCAGCAGTGCCTGAGTGATGGATTGCTCTGCCTGGCTACACAGCTACAGCATTCCTAACTTGTACCTTTAATTGCCTTTTTCCCTTGCTCTTGGGAAGCTCAAGCAGGTTTTGTTTTTTTAATGCTATGTCAGGTGCTAAATGCACTTGACAAGTTTTTTTGAAGGTGATTTGAGACCAGGAGCATTCCAGAAAAAGAGGCAGTTAACTTTAAAATTTTTCTTGTCTTGAAAATCTACAACAAATCTGTTTTCAGTTGGAGAATGAAAAATGAAAACACTAGGTATTTCAGTTTTTAAGAAGTTAAGTGACTAATATTTACTAGAAATAGATTCTTTTTATCCTGTGCCTTGAAATAATGTGGATTTAAGTTCTTTAATATTTCAGGCCAAATAGAAAAAAACAATGTTGTGGGTGTTGGGTTTTTTTTTTTATTCTATGGCATTTCTCAAAAATTTTGGCAATTTTCTGTCAACCACAGTGAAACAATGTGATGGACATGCATGAGAAACTTCTGTGCTCAATCCTCTCTCTTTTGTCCACAGAAGAAAACAGTTAAATTGCCGCAGCATTTATTAGGATCAAATACCTTTTGATGCTGAAAAGCTGTCCTTAATCATTGCAAAGTGGGGGAAGTAGCAAAGAATAGAACAAGAACAGTCTGCAGTTTGCTTCAACAACAACCAGAACAATCTGTCCTCACTGAAGGGGGCAAAGAGGAGGGAGCCAAAACCAGAGAGGAGAAGGTTTCAGCAAGCTGTTCTTCAGAGAGGCCTCCCTAAAGACGGTCACCACGTGCTGGAATGTCCTGGGGAAGGAAGAGTGGTTGTGAAGTGTGCTCTTGGCACAGGCATATGCCAAGCAGGGGAGTCTTGATCATTTTTTTACAACCCTGCCAGTCCTCTGAATTGTGGATTTTTACAGTTGTCTGGGATCATGCCAGCACCACTAGGCAGGAGAGGAAAAGGTGGTGGGAAGTAATGTCAGTAGTCATACAGGAGAGGGCAGAGCCAGGCCAGGCACTGCTGCAGGAGGATCTGGAGGGGGCAGTGAGAGGAGAGCTGTGTTGGCTGCCAGGGCAGGGAAGGAACTCTGTGCTTGCCAGCCTGTGGAGCCAAACTGACTGCAGCTATGACTTCAGCCTGTGTGGTATCATTGCTTAAACAACCACAAATGGGATGGAATCTTTTCTTGTTATTCACTGGAGCTTCCTCTCTAAATTATCAGGAACTGTTTTGATTCCTGACTCCAGAAATGTACTGGTGGTATGTGAGCTGAATGCTTTTCCCAACCAGGAACCAGGGCACATTTGACATGGCAGCAAATTCAGCACTCAGCATGCTGGGGACACTCATCAGCACGGCTGGTGATACACAATCACTCTAGAGGGCTTCGTGGTGTCCCAGAGCCCCTTCTCTCCACGGCCTCTGCATTTCAGAACTGACTTCTGCCACCCAGAGCATGAGCTATTGCCAGGCTCCTCTGCACAGCAGGCCTGTGCCAGGCTGCCACCTTGGCACAGGAGCTGCTGTTGCCTCAGTCAAGGTTTCTTTTCTCTGTCTGTGAATAAGAGACTCAGGGATGAGTCAGCAGACAGAACAGACAGGTCTCAAAACAGATGAATACATCCTCACTCATAAATAAGGGCTGGAAGGAAAGAGGTGATGTGGTTGTAAAAGTCCCACAGGAGTGTCTCTGCCAACAGGCCTGCCAACTTTGCAACGGGGGCTTTAATGCAGATTTGCTGGGACACATGACAAAAGCCTTAGAAAGAGGAGAGGTATGGGATGGCTCTTACATTTTCCAGCATTGGAAACAGCAGTGCTGGCAACCAGGTCAAGTGCCTGCATAGCACAGATGCACATGCACAAGAAGAACAGGAGACAAAAGTCTAAGCACGGTCCTCAGAGTGACAGAATCACAGAATAATCAAGGTTGGAGGAGGCCTTCAAGATCATTAAGTCCAGCTGTCAACCCAGCACCACAATAATAATCTCTAAACATATTCCTGAATGCCATGTCCAGATGCCTCCTGAACACTTCCAGAGAAGATGACTCTGCTACCTCTCTGGGCAATTTATTCCAATGCCTGACCACTCTTTCAGAAAAAATATTTTTCCTAATATCTAGTATGAACCTTCCCTGGCATAACTTAACACCATTTCTTCTCATCCTTTGGCTTGAGACATGGCAGAAGAGACTGACTTCCA